GAATGCCCTAGCATTTACTAGATATATGTTTTTCTGGTATATAAATAAGACGCACACAACGTGACGGGATAATGTGTGTGTGTGTAGACAGTGAGTAATTGATCTGCAGTCAGAGAGTATTATTGAGCACGTTCGTTGTTATAGCGTTTGTTTTAGCGCGATTGTTGAAATTAAGTGTATCGTAAATTTATATTCGGAAAGAATAAACCAGTTTTATTAAGTAAGGACTTGTGTCGCTAAAGTTTCGTCGGAACGAAGTTACGGAAAGTTAATTAACAAACGGAGACGTAACAATGTATTTGTTACTTTATAGATTTAATAGATATTTGTTGTTACTTTATTAACGTTTTGACGCTTATGCTGTGAGGTAAAACGGCTGCTGCTATCATTTATGAGCTCTTTGCTGTCCTAATTTAGGATCTTCTTTTTTAATATATTCTTGAAAATTTTAAAAAGAGAGAGAGAAAGGGGGCCCGGCGAGGATGTTTGCCTCGGGGCTCGTGCTGGCTCTCGATGTTCCTGATCATTATACCTTTCCTATAGAATACTACTTTTATGGCTATTTTACAACAGAGTAACATCTTACGATTGGAAATTCCGGTTATATTTGTTTTGCCAATGAGGAAGCCAGTATTGTAGGGATTTTATTCTCCATGTAAACTCGAGACGGCTTAGTCCGCTATGTGACCATTAGAAGGATCAAGTGATATGTCCACTTTCATCCTTATCTTTTTTTTTATTCCTCTTTCAAGTTCAGTAGCCAGCCTTACATATATTATAAATTTAGCGATAATTATTTTTCCTAATACTTGCTTAATTTTTTATAAGATGGACTACGTGAGTTACTAAGTTATGGAGTATATTCTAAAGCTTTATAAATTTTGTGTAAAACAATAATAAAATAGGTAGCCAAATATCGTGAAGACTGTTTTGCTCTATGAAATGATAAAATTATAGTTACTGCTAGAGCTTGGTAGGCGCTAAGCGTGTTAAAGAAAGATGATGAGCGAAAATAAGAGATCTTGGTTTTGGCTGTTCGCCAGTTTTCGATTTTAGGACGCTCTGGATAGCTGAAAAGCGTCATATACACCGTAGATAGAACGAGTATACCAGGTAGGTAGCTCCTCATATCTAACTTCTGATGACCCGTGGAGAAGAAAATCCAGATAACTTTTGTACTGCTTTAATATGGGCGCACTCTCCCATATGATAGTTCACAGACTGTGCTGTGTCCACCACAGGTATCGAAACTCGGTTTTAGTTACTGCTGAGCTAGTGTAGAAGCAGACTGTGAACTTTACTATTAAAAAATAACCACTTTTTAATTAACCATTTTAAGTTAACATACCATGTTATAAGCATTTTTAAGGTTAATAATTACAAAATGAGGAGATTTGTCTGAGATTTTCAATATTATTGCCGGATATAACGTACCATAAATTCTAGTTTTCAGGGTTTTAAATTGAAAACCTCTATATACATTCATGCTACACAAATCACCATTCATGTTTTCTTTAACAGTTTCAGACTTTCATCCTATTATTATATTTTCTTCTTACTGCTATTGTTTTCAATAAACACAACCTACAAACTTTTATACCTAAACTATTTAACTTAACAAATACTTCACGATTTATACGAGAACAATGCAACGAAACTTGATATTTAATTAACTTAGTCTATCCAGGCCACACTAACACTCTCAATCATCTGTGTAACTTAAGTAATAATTTATCACAACAAAGATTTTAGGTACATACTCAAATATCATTTGAATTTATTCTAAGCTAATAAAATGTATTCATATTACCCAAATTAAACACTTTATCATGTTTAACAACATACTGCATTTGTTACTCTAACATATTTTGGTCAATGTGTATAACTTGTCTCTATTTAAGTATATATACACATTATGATGTGAATTATTAGTGTTGGTGTAAAAGTTAAAATCAAATACGTAAATAAAATGTAACGTTTATCTGTACATAATTTCTATTAATCTAACATATTATCATGTACTCTAAACCTAAACTGTTCTTTCTATTATATTTAAACTCTCAAATTACGTACATAAAATGTACACTAATTTCTCTTCAAACAATGAAATACACTTTGTAGCACGCAAACATATTAGATTTTGTCTATCCCCTTTATTTAACTTCAAATTTACATAAAATGTTTTGCAATTTTAGCATATACAAGCATATGAAAGTTTTTACAGAATGTTGATTAAGAAATTGGCTAAATTCCTTTCACTGTAGTTGCCTATTGTTCCGGGCCATTCACCTATGTTGTCATATGCACACTTTTGTGGGAAAGATTCCTGTATAGTATAGTCTTCTACTGGTAGGTGTAGTGAAACCTTGAAGAAACATCCTCCATTATATTTTGTCTCATGTAGATAATGCTATGTTTTCTCAGTTTAGAACAGATTTTCTTTAGAGATTTAAAATTTAATTTTTTTCAAAGATATTTCTGGAACTTCCAGTTATTTTCATTTTATGCATACAATTTGCCTTTAGTAAATTAAAAAATTAAGCAGAAGTTCCACTAAGAAATGTGTTTTTTATCTTCATTAAATAAACGAATAAACATGATACTTTTTTGAATTTTAGTTATTATCAATGTGTTAATATGTTTTCTTAAAAATTAATATCATTCATGCAACTCGATGTAAAAACTTAAGAGTTATGGGATCCTAGATCAAATATCAGAGCTTAAATAAAAGAAGTGCAGTGCCCCCCCCTCTCTCTCTTTTTTTTAAATGCAGTACTAATATAGTTAGGCACAAAAGCCCAACAAGACAAAACAACGAATAGGTTACTACTGTTAAAGTAATTTCTGATTTGTATTATAATTTATTAAAATTATCTAACATACTTATTGGGTAACAGTTACAAAATAATTTGGGTATCTATTTTTATGGAAAATAATTAATCTATTTTATTGGAAAAAATTAAAAGTAAATTTATACAAATAAAAGAAAGGTATCTTATTTTCCATTTATAGTTCATTTACAATTGCATTTTTCATTTCACTTGCTAGTATTTCCTTTCCCTGTTGATGAGGAGGACTTTTGTTGGGAACCACAGTGAAGACGTCTCTGTTCCATCTGTCTCTTCTCTTTAGCTCGCTGGGTCAAGAGACGAGCATAATCAGCAGCTTCAGTTTATGAGAACGTTTAAGCTTAAGTGTGAATCGATGTCTCTTATGTTGGAGCACCTGGGGAGTTACAAGTCATTGAATTTTTAGGTGTTTTATGACAGAGTTTCTTCCCTAAATGAAAAGAAATAAAGCTTTTATGAGTTTAAACTGACCAGATTTATCAATGCAAGAAGTCAATACAGCACATGACAACCACAAAATAATTAAAAAATAAACACTGACTATCAAGGTTTTTGAGAATTTTTATGCAAAGCTACTTATCTGTGTGTAGCCATTCCCTAATTTTAAACTGATAAACTAGAGGACAGGCAGCTAGTCAACAGCACCAATAAACAAATATTATCTGACTGAATAGTGTGATTGGAGCATCACTCTTATATCACACTCACGGCACCAAACATAGAACATGTTTTTTGAAGCTATGGGGAACAAACCATGAATCTTCAAATTCACAGTTCAGACATACTAACCACTAGCCACATCTAGAAAGACAAGTTCAATGACCTGATTATCATTCTTACTAAAATATAAGAATGTTAGCTTTCTCTCTAGTATTCCGCAACAGTGATATATATATATCAGGCAGGTGGCAGCACCACCTATGTAGGGATGGCTGGGATTGTTCATCAAAATGGTATTTTAAATATCTCCTCAATAGGTCATCAGAACTTTACAATCCTATACAGTGTTTACTTTTATAACAATATCTATTTAATGACTGAGTCACAAGTTCTGGGAATGTCTGTAAATATTATAGCATATAGTTTGAATGTCTTGTTCTTCTTTCTTCTTGCTTTTTCTTACATGATAACTCAAGAATGAAAACAACGATGTCAACCAATTTCACTGAGGTGACATAGTTTCAAACAGAGTATCCATTTTTATAAGTATTATTAATAACTAGTAGTAATTAGAAAAAAAAATCATAATTCTAG